AAGGCTCGAATTGTCGGTTCGTGTTCCCCCTCTGGGGCCTGTGTTGGGGCCGTTTGGGGATTCTCTTGGGTTGCTTTGGGCGCCTCTTGGGCCGTTTCGGGGCCGTCTCGAGATGTCTTGGCACTTTCTTGGGACCCTCTTGGGCCGTCTTTGGGCGGTCTTCGGGGCCCCTGGGGCCGTCTTGGAACTTCGGACGCTCGTACAGGCGATAGCGTGAAACGCATTGCAGAACACAATCGAACTCACTGAATGTTGTCTCTGCGGGCCCTCTTTGGGGACCTCTTGGGGCGTTCTTGGGGTTTCTTTGGGGCCCCTTCGGCTGTCTTGGAGGCATCTTCGGCCATCTTGGCGGCATTGGGTGGCCTCCCAGATCCGTCTTGGAGGCCATCTTGGGCATCTGGGACGCATCTTGGGTGCATCGAAGAGCGCCTGGAACCCATCCCACCGTTGTGCGTGTGTTCTGAGTCGGAATCGTCAGGGATGCTCGTGGCGAGCGAGAAGGAAGAGGAGGACGAGGAGGAGGAGGAGAAGGAGCAGGAGGAGGAGCAGCAGCAGGAGCAGGAGGAGGAGGAGGAGGAGGAGGAGGAGGAGGAGGAAGAGGGGAGGATGAGGATGAGGAGGAGGCCTCCCGATCGCTTCTTGGGGCATTTTGGGGCCAAACTTGATCGTGGACAAAGCGCCTGTTTGGGAGGCTGGTTGGGGTCTCTTGGGAGGCCTCTCCGGGGGCCTCTCGGCGGCATTGTTGGGGCCTCTTGGGGGCCTCTTGGGGGCCTCTTGGGGGCCTCTCGGGGCCTCTTGCGAGCCTCTTGGGGGCTCTTGTGGCCTTCTGGGTGCCCCTCGGGGCCGAGAGCTGCAATGCCCACGCGGGGGCCTCGTCAGTGCCCGCTCTTGGAGCTCTCTTGGGGGGCCTCTGGAGCCGTCTTGGAGGGCTCTTGGGCTGTCTTCGGGCCCTCTGGGGCAATTTCGGGGCCCTCCTGGAGGAGTCTGGGGCCGTATTAGGGCGATCTTGGGGGCATGTTGGGCCGTCTTGGAGCGCGGGTAAGACGAAAAGGCGAGAACGCCTAAATCCTTGAACAAGCCACCGGAAAGTCATGACGTTTTGCCTCTGGGGGCCCTCTGGGAGGTGGCCTCTTGGTGGCCTCTTGGGGCGTTTGAAAGGCGTCTTGGGCCATCTGAAGGCCACATTGGGCGTCTTGGACCGATCGTTCGATGACTGGGAGCCCTCTTGGACGGTCTTCGGGCCATTTGTGACCCTCTTGGAGCGCTCTGGAGGGCCTGAAGGTGCCCCGCGCGCGCGAAGTAGAAATACTGCAAAGCAGTTGCCGGAGATCTTGGCACGCTTCTGGCCCGTTGGGCCGGCGAATTCCCTCATGTTTCCTCTCCCTCTTCCTCAATCTCGCCCTACCCTGCGAATTTGTCCCCATCCTCCTCAGCTCTTTTTGCGGAGGCTCCCCCTATGGAGAGCCTCTTGGGGGCCGCACGGAAGTTTTGAAACGCGTCTTGGGGCCTTCTGGAGGTTTTCTGGGCGCCTTCTGGGTTCCTCGGGCCACCCTGCTTCCACCTCAACCGCGAACTCCCTGAACGACTGGGTCACGATTTGAGAAGCTTCGGGGGTGTCTTGGGGCCATCTTGGGTCGCCATAGGGCTCTTCGGGTCATCTTGGGACCCTGTTGGGCCGTCTTGGGGCTCTCTTGGACTGCCTGGAAGCCCTTTCAGATAGTGTTGGGGCGATGTTCGGGCCTCCTGGGCAGTCTCGGATGCCCAGAAGGCCGAAGAACAGAGCATTTCCAGAATCATGAAAAAACCAATGGGAGTCATTGTTTTTTCAGTTTCGAGGGCCTCTTGGGGTCTTCTTTGGGTCTTCTTCGGGGGTCTAGTGGGTGTCTGGGGTTTGGGGCCTCTTGGAGCCTTCGGGGCGCCGTTCGGCCGCCCTCGCGACCGATTTGGGCCCGTGGCCTGAGCCCAGCAGGGGCTTCCAGGGACTCCGGAAAGACCTGGGGGCCTTCCTCAGGGGCGTCCAGTCCAGGATTTAGAGAGTGGGACTTTCCCATCCTCCTAGATTGCAAGGGTATACAACATTATAGTATACATACATGTAATACATATATTTATGTACACAAAGGTGTGCATATCCATTAAGAGTATACATACGTACACGCATCTGTATACATACACATATACATATGTATAATTTTTCACGCTTCGCGTATCCCCACCAGCCCATCTCAAAACAGCAACTCTAGCGAAGCATGCCGACAGTCGTGTTTTTCAGGCGTGTTTCCGCCTGCCCCCGCATATCTCCCCTGTTCCTCCTTCATCCCGCCTCCTTGTACATCCTCCTTGTGGTGGGAGCGGGAGAAGGACGAGGCGGAGGAGGAGGGAGAGAAAGCGCTCCTCGTGGTTTGAGTCGTTCGGGCTTCTCGTCCTGGTGTGAGTCGTTCGGGCCCTTCTTCCTGGTGTGAGTCGTTCGGGCTCTTCGTGGTGTGAGTCGTTCGGGCTCTTCGTCCTGGTGTGAGTCGTTCGGGCTTCTCGTGGTGTGAGTTGTTCGGGCCCCTCGTCCTGGTGTGAGTCGTTCGGGCCCCTCCTCCTGCCCGTCCAGAAACGACGCCCAGGCGAGTAGAGGGTCGTCCTGATGGGCTTTTCGGCGTCTTGGGTGCCTCGGGGGGGCCTCTTTGGGCCGTTTGGGATCCTCTTGGGGGCCTCCTGGGGGCCTCTTGGGGCCATCTTGGGGCCTCTTGGTGCCTCCTGGGCGCTTCTTGGGGCCATCTTGGAGGAAATCGATCAAAGAAGAGGGGAGCTTTAATTAGCGCTGCCCCCTCAGAAGGCCAAAATGGGGCCAAAACCTTAGTAAAATCAATGATTCTGGCTTGAAAGAAGAGGGGAGCTTTAATTAGCGCTGCCCCCTCAGAAGGCCAAAATGGGGCCAAAACCGTAGTAAAATCAATGATTTTGGCTTCAAAGAAGAGGGGAGCACTTTTCTCCCTCCCCCCGTCGGGGCCAGAATCCTCGTGAGGGGTGTCGTTTTTTAGCCCTCCCAGGAGTCGAAAAAGACCCCTCTGACGACCCGCGAAAGGACCTCTCCAGGTCCAGGGGGAGGGGGTAGGGGGAGGGGCAAACCCCTCCCCGAAGGGGAAGAAGGGGGGGTGAGAACAGAGAGAGCTCCCTAAACCACTCACGCCCAAAGGGCTGGTGGGATTTGTACGTGCGCGTAGTTTTACACACATATGTATTTTGAACGTATACATGTTTGTGTGTATATATATATATATATATATAAATGGATCCTGTATCATTGCATCCGCTTCGCCCCTGGCCTTCATCTTTGTTGCCCGTCTTCGCCATTGGCCAAATGTTGGCGAATTGGTTCTCAGGGTTGGACACGCAGGAAGTCAGCATCGTGTGTCGTGGCGCCCATGCTTCACACTGCTTGGGATGGCAAATGCAGTCTCGTGCGGTCGTCATACCAGATGGCTGCGCGGGTTGAGCCGTACTTCGGCTGCCTCTGGATATGGCTCCGTGAGGGTGGGCATTCTCCAGTCTGCCTCTTGATACGGCTGCGCGGGAGGCCTGCCTCTTTGCATGGCTGTGTTGGGGGGAGCATTCCCCAGTCTGCCTCCTGATATTGCTGTGCGAGAGGGGGCGCGTGAGGGCGAGCCTTTCCCAGCTTGCCTCTTGACGGGATGCGTGGGGGCGAGCCTTCCCCCTCTCTGCCCCCAGGTATGGCGGTGCGGGAGCGCGCCTTCCCCAATCGGTTCCTTGGTATGGCTGCGTGGGGGGGATCCTACCTAAGATTGCCCCTTGATACGGCTGTGGGGGGATGAATATTCCCAGGGCGCCTTTTCATAGGGCTGTGTGGGGGTGATCCCTCTCCGGAGGGCGGGGGGGGGGGGTAATTCTCCTCTGGTCCGACGCTTCATCTGGCTGTGCGGGCGATCTCTCCCCAGTTTTCGCGCAAGCCCTGTCTGGATTAAACTGTCCGCAGTGCAGAAGGACGCCTGTGGGTCGCACATGAGTGCAGTGCCCGCCGAGGGCAGGAAGGACGAGCCCTTCACCCTTCTGAAATAGGGGCCAGCCACGGGCAAGGCTGCGCAAGCCGCCAATATCCTCCCCCTCCCCCTTCCCGCTCATCCTTTCGCCTCGCCACAAAAAAACAAGAATTGCATAAACATGATTTATCTGAGGTCCGCGCGGATTTGTTGGATCTGCGTTGGGCTCCCCTGGCGCCGCCCTTGGCGCGCTCCGCGCTCCAGGGAGGGGGCTCCAGCGCCGATTCAAGAAATCAGCGCGAACCTCTACGTATTGCCAGGGAAGAACATCCTCTGCAGTGGACAGCGCCCACCGCCGCTGCCACGGCAACCGCGTACCGAGAAAACAAGAACGCCGCCGCGAGTGCTCGGCCGTGTGCGACGGCGGCATCCAGCAGCGCACCCGCGCCGCGTTGACGGAGGCGCGCGACGTCGTCGACGACGACGACGACGAAGACGACGATGACGACGACGAAGGTAGAGCTCGAACTGGCGACATCGGCGTTTCCGTGCGTTGGGCGGCGCAAGGAGGAGGAGGAGGAGGAGGAGGAGGAGGAAGAGGAGGAGGAGGAGGAGGAGGAGGAGGAGGAGGAGGAGGACGAGGAGGAGGACGAGACGAGGACGAGGACGAGGACGGGGACGAGGAGGACGAGGAGAGGGGGGAGGAGGAGGAGGAGGAGGAGGGAGGAGGAGGAGGAGGAGGAGGAGGAGGACGAGTACGAGGAGGAGGAGGAGGAGGAGGAGGAGGAGGAGGAGGAGGAAGAGGAGCAGCAGCACCAGCACCAACCAGCAGCAGCAGCAGCAGCAGAAGCAGGACGTGGAGCAATGGGATGAGGGCGAGGACCCGAGGAGCAGGAGAATGCAGGAGAAGAAGGAGGAGGTGCTCGGGGAGGAGGAGGAGAAGGAGGGGGAGAAGGAGGAGGAGGAGGAGGAGGAGGAGGAGGAGGAGGAGGAGGAGGAGCAGGAGAAGGGAGGAGACGAGGGAGGGAGGGAAGGTAGGGAGGCAGGGAGGGAGAAAGGGATAGAGGGAGAGAGGAGGGTGAGGAGAGGAGGGTGAGGAGGGGGAGGAGGAGGAGGAAGAGGACTAGAGTAAGCCCAGGATACACCAGCGATGCTGCAGCGCACCCGTCCCAAGCCACCCTCCCACAAGTTCCCACAGGTCTTCCCCTCCGCAGCCGCAGCGTGTGCGGCGCCCCCCCCTGGAAGGACGCGCGCCCGGTGGCCCTGCCGCCCAGACGAGACCCCGTGCCGTGAAGGATCTCCGGCCTCCGCGCGCGTGGCTCGAAGAGACCGCGCAGAGGAAGGGCGGTCACGTCCTCCTCCTCCTCCTCCTCCTCCTCCTCCTCCTCCTCCTCCTCCTCCTCCTCCTCCTCCTGGAAGTGTCCGGCGATACGGCTCGGGAACTCTGCGGGCCAGCTACCACTGGGGGAGCTGTGGCCCTTACCCCCCTGGGGGACCCGTCGATTTCGGCACCCCTCTCGCGAGAGATCCTCGACGCGATGGGTTCCCCCGGGGGGGCAAGGACCACAGCTCCCCCAGTTATGGCTGGTCGGCTTTGGGACAGCGTGTCGCTCCACGAGTTCTGGCCCAGGCTGCGGCGCGACGCGCTGTCCACCTCTCCAGCTCCCAGGCTTCGGCGTCCCGAGCTGCTCCTCGCCTCCCTCCGCGCGGAGCGAAGCGGCACGCCATCCGCTTGCAAGGCATAGTGTGCCGCCAGGGCCGCCGCCGCGATGTTAGGTTCAAGAGTGCCTGACCGCAGCCCCGTTTTGAAAAGGACACGCTCTTCATCCGTGTAAGCGCTGCACAGTTCCAGGTTCTGGCCGTGAGATCTGCCCAAGTCTCAGGCGAGAGTCCCATTTCGCGAAGGAGTTCCCCTCCATTCATGAAATTGCTGCACACTTTGAGATGTCGGGTCATAGAATCGACGGACGTCTCAAACGAGAGCCGCATTCTTGAAAACGAGCTGGCCCCCATTCTTGAAACTGCTGCGAATGTTGAAACCGAATGAGCGCGGCCCTTAGGCGAGAGCCCTACTTTGAAACCACAGGCCCTCTATCATTGTAGCTGCTGCGAGCGCCTCTGACGGATGTGCATGGCGCTAAGGAGGGAAACCGTGTTTGAGAGCAACCGCCGTTTTTTGCTTCGTGATAGCGGCGTTGGAAGGGAGCCTCACGCGAAACGCTCGGCCCGGCCTGCAGACATATTTGGTGGTGCGATAGGGTCAGGGGCCACGTTAGAGGGGGGACAGGCTCAGGGGGAGACGCACCGACCCCCAGTTGCCCAGTCGTCGCCGACAGAGGCCTGACAGCCCACCCCGCCGGGGGAACGTGCGGCTTCGCCATCGGGGCCCACCGCCAATCCGTCGGAGAGGAGTCGTCGAGTCTGGGTCGACGCTTGCCCCCCCGGAGTCGGTCGCCCCCCACGGTCGGAAATTTTACGGCAGCGCGTCGCTCCGCCGGCCCTGGTTCGAGGAGGGAGGAGGGAGGAGGGAGGAGGAGGAGGAGGAGGAGGAGGAGGGGGAGGAGGAGGAGGAGGGCGAAGGAGGACGAGGAGGACGAGGAGTGCTGGGAGGATCGGAGGGCGAAGGAGGACGAGGAGGGCTGGGAGGACGAGGAGGACGATGAGGGCGAAGGAGGACGAGGAAAAGGAGGAGGAGGAGGAGGAGGAGGGCTCCGCCGGTTCTGGCCCACCACGCTGCGGCTCGATTCGCTGTCCACAGCCCAGCCCCTGGGCGGCCACGGCCCGCCGTCGTCGTCGTCGTCGGTCGTCGTCGTCGGTCGTCGTCGTCGCCGTCGTCGTCGTCGTTGTCGTCGTCGTCGTCGTCGTCGTCGTCGTCGTCCGTCGTCGTCGTCGTCGTCATCGTCGGTCGTCGGTCGTCGGTCGTCGGTCGTCGGTCGTCGGTCGTCGGTCGTCGGTCGTCGGTCGTCGTCGTCGTCGTCGTCGTCGTCGTCGTCGTCGTCGTCGTCGTCGCCATAGTCGTCGTCGCCGTCGTCGCCGTCGTCGTCGTCGTCGTCGTCGTCCCGGTCCCCAGGCGCCCCCGCCCCGCGGAGCGGAGCGACACGCTATCCGCTCGAATGGCACGGCGTGCCGATGGGGCCGCCGTGGCGACGCGCTTCAAGGAAAAGTGCCCGGCCGTGGTTTCGCAGAGCTCCGCGCGGATTTCCTGGATCGGCGAAGAGAGTAACGACCGCTGCAGCACGACACCCTGTGGCACCAGAAGGAGAGAGGAGCGGCAGATGCACGTGCACGTTCGGAGACTCGCTCGGCTCTGCTGGGTCCGCGCTGGGCCTCCAGCAGATGGACAGTAGATTCGAAACCTCACACATTCGAGGGAGATTCTACATCACCCCCCACGCCTACATCACCCCCCCAGAGACCCCCTTTTCACAGCGTCGACCCGCATGGGTACGAACCTGTTCGGAAACCACGAACTTGCAGGAAATCACGAGCCACGCTTTCCTGCACATCTTCCAGTCTGCGAAGGGATCGAGCAGGATCCAGTGCCCCCGACGTCAACGTTGATCTCGGTACAGGCGGTGCTCTGGGGGTTCGCATATTTCTGTCCGCTCACGCCCCCGCCGTCGCCACGCCATCGACATTAATTTCGGGGGTCTGTCGAGGGAGGGAAAAGCCACCCCGACCCCGACAATTGGCGTTTACTAAATGGCCCTGGGCGTTTACTAGTCAGCCCTGCCCTGATCGATTTCTTCCTTGGGTGCGTTTACTAAACGGCTTCGCTTGTCGGGGTGCTTATTCTGGGGGGGGGATATTATGCTCTCTAGTCTGGGGGGCATCTTGGGCCACAGGGTTCGAATAGAATGTCCATTGCGGCTCCTGGCGGCGACCCCACCATGGAGGGGCAACGGGAGGAGGAGGAGGAGGAGGAGGAGGAGGAGGAGGAGGAGGAGGAGGGAGGAGGAGGAGGAGGAGGAGTGAGGAGGTGAGGAAGGAGGAGGAGGAGGAGGAGGAGGGAGAGGAAAGGAGAGGAAGTGAGGAGGAGGAGGAGGGGAGGAGAGGAGGTGGAGGAAGGAGGAGGAGGAGGGAGTGAGGAGGAGGAGGAGGAGGAGGAAGGAGGAGGAGGAGGAGCTACCATGGAGGGGGGAGGGGGGGGAGACGGGCGCGCCCCGAGGCGCGCAACGCGGCGACGCGTGCCCGCAGCTCGTCGAGATGCAGGCGGCCCGGTCCTGGGGGGGCGCCCCTCCCTACTGCCCTCCTCCCTCCTCTCCTCCTTCCTCCTCCTCCTCCTCCTCCCCTCCTCCTTCTCCTGCTCCTCCTCCTCCTCCTCCTCCTCCTCCTCCTCCTCCTCATATCCTCCTCCTCCTCCTCCTCCTTCTCGCCCTCCCTCATCCTCCTCCATCCCTCTCCCTCTCCTCCTCGTCTCCTCCTCCTCCTCCTCTCCTCCTCCTCCTCTCCTCCTCCTCCTCCTCTCCTCCTCCTCCTCCTCCTCCTCCTCCTCCTCCTCCTCCTCCTCCTCCTCCTCCTCCTCCTCCTCCTCCTCCTCCATCCCTCTGCTCCTCCTCCCCCTCCCCTTCCTCCTCCTCCCCCTCCCCCTCCCCCTCCCTCTGCGCCCTCCCTGGTTCCTTGATCTGGGACCTCCTCAGAGCCTTTCGGGCGCTGTGGGGCCTTTCGGGCACCCCGCGACCCTGGTGTTAAGTCGGGCCTGTCCCTCTACAGGACAGGAGGAATATTCAAACATAGAGAGAAGAAGAATAATAAGAAGAGGAAGAAGAAGAAGAAGAACAGAAGAAGAAGAAGAAGAACGACAAAATATCTGGGGACTATTTTTGAATATTTTTGAGCATTGTCAGCATTTTTATTAATTTCTAATGTTTCGTCCAAAATCCCCCTGTAAGGGGACGCGCCCGACCCAGCTCTGGTGGACTTGTCAAAGTCCCAAGCAGCCTGTAGGAGGACACGCCCGTGGGAGGACCCGCCCCGCCCGAGGGCCAGGTGCGGCAGGACCGCGTGCCGGCGCCCCGGGCGGCAGGAAAAAGCGCAGGAACTGCCAGCGCCTCGCGCGAAGCCCTGCTGGACGCGTGCGCAGAGGTGGCTCCGAGTATGTTCTGTGGGCTTATTCAGTGCAGCTTGCAGCTCACCTGAGGCGCCGCTTAGGTAGCTTAGGCAGTTTAGGTGCGCGGCTCTAGTTTGCTCCTGTTGTCAATCAGTGGGCCCGCGCCCCGGACATACGACTCGCCGCTTGCGCTCTCGCCTGCGGCCGCGACCGAACAAGAGTTTGTTTGTTTTGTAGGTGGAGGGCAGAGGTCTGGGCGCCCGAAATGGGTACGGAGAGAATGGGTACAATGCCCAACAGCCGTTCCTGTTCCTTTTGAGCAGGACTGGCTGTCCACGCCGCCGCGGCCTGTGTCCATTCGAGACAGGAGGCCGCCTGTCCAACAGCGGCCGCTGTTGGGTTGGGACAACACTGTTGGGCATTGTGCCCATTGTTTCCGTGCCCATTTCGGGCGCCCAAAAAAGGGTGCCATCTGAAATGCCGTTTCGATCGGTTTTCGAGGCCCGGAATTGCACGAGGTGGATCGCAAGACGGATTGGTCTCCGAGGTGCCAAAAAGCTCATCGGGATTGCGCCCCGAGTCCTCCACCCTAAGAGAAAGCTTAGTTATCTGTGACCCCCTCGGAGCCTTTCGGGCGCCTTTCGGGCGCTCGTGGGGCACCCCGCGACCCTCGGCCCTGAGCAGCCAGGTCCTTGTTTCGGGGGCCCTGGCGTGGCGTTTTTCTTCGGCTGGTGCTCCGCAAGTGGCGTGCTCGCGCGAGTCGCGCGGCCGTCCGCGGCGGCCCTGCAGCACGCGGGCACTGGGGGCCGACGTGGAGCTCCAGCGCCACACCGGCGGGAGGCCAAGGACGGAAGCCTGCGCAGCGCCGACCTGCGCGCCCGTGGAGCGGCGACGCGCCGAGGGGCGGGAAGCGAGAGGGCAGGCATCCGGCCGTGCGTTTCCCGCGCGGCGCGCAGCGGCAGGACTCACTTCGGCCTGATGGATCAAGGCCTCCAGCTGACAGACGCGCTCGGGAACCCAAATTTGATACCCAGCTGCTCCTCCAGAGGGTCCGGTGCGCCATCGGCGCCCAGCTGACGCGACGGGCCGTTCGGATGCTGCACTCCTGCGCGCCGCGCTTCGAGGAGGAGGAGGAGGAGGAGGAGGAGGAGGAGGAGGAGGAGGCGGCACTGGAGAGGGAACGTCTGCCTGGGGCCCAGGCTCTGGCGCCTTCCTTGTTGTTGCAAGGAGGCCAGGTGGGTGGCCCACGTCTGGCCGCCCATCGGTCGCGAGATCCTGGGTTCCTCGACGAAGGCGTCCTCATCTAAAACCTCCGCCGTCCTTCCGAACTGTGGAAAAGGGCTACAGCACTCCAGAAAGTGGGGGCAATCGGCCCGCTACGCGTTTCCCATCATCCCCAGGCCTTCGAGTGAGAGGGGGCAGGCCTTCTCACGTGCGCCCAGGAGCGCCCCTGGGCCCCGAGCAAGGGCTGGTTCGACGCGGCGCTGGGCTCACCAGGCCCCATAGGGACCCTTGACCAGCGCAGCTGGGACTGTGGCCAGCGCTACTTCTACTGGGACCAGCGCCAGTGGAACTGCGATTGGCATCCCCTTTGGACCCTGAGAAGTCGCGTCGGCGCTGGCGCGGTCCTGCCGCGCGCATTCTTTGGAGCGCGCCGCGCCCGCGTTGCACTTCGCGACGGCGCGGCCCAGTTTCCTCGCGCGCGTTGGCGCGGCCGCGCTCGGCGCCCAAGCCTCGTCGGCGCGGCCGCGCGCGCGGCGTCAATCGATCGCGCTGGCGCGGGCCATGTCTGTCGTTGGCGTTTGTGCGCGGCCGCGCTCGATGCGTAAATCTAATCGGCGCTGGCGCGGTTCTGCCGAGCGCCGCGGAGCGCGCCGCCGCTCCCGTCTTGCCGGCCGCGTCGGCGCGGGGAAGTTTGCCCGCGTGCGTCGCCGCGGCCGCGCCCTTGTCGGCCAGTTGCGCCAGCGCGGCTGCGCGCGCGTTGGAAGAAGCGCCGAGGCGGCCGCGCTGGTTGCGCGCGTCGCGTTGGCCTGGGCGCGCCTGTCGCGGGATCTCGCCACCGCAGGCGAGTTGCGTTGCGCGCGCCCGCGCGCCTGGGCCCCGCGCGCGCGCCGCGCTCGCGCCGCTGCGCGCGGCGGCGCAGGCGACGTTCATCGCGCGCGCGCCTGCTGGCCCGCGGCCCTTGTCTGGGGCTCGTTTGTAAATTGCGCCGGCGCGGCCGCGCGCGCGCAGTGAGTCGCGCCGGCGCAGTCGCTTCCGCTCGTTCGCCGTCTGGGCCGGGGGCGCCCGCGGGGGCTGGGGCTAAAACAGGGGCCGGGGCGAGGGCAAGAGCCGGGGCTAGGGCGCGGCCAGGGGCGGCCAGGGCAAGGGCAAAGCGCCCTGCGCCCGTGGGCGATGCCGGGCGCAGCTTTCTGTTCAAATTGTTTCAAACTTTTCCATTTTTCAGACTTTCAAATCGGGGCAAACTTTTTCGAACTTTCTTCAAGCTTCAAATGGGGGCACTTTTTTCACGCGTTAGTTCTCCAAGCTTTTCTCAAATTTCCAAACCGGGACAAACTGTTTTCAAACATTTTTCAATGTTTCCCAACTTTTCAAACTTCCAAGTCGGGGCACTTTTTCCAGCTGTGTCCAAACTGTTTCAAACTTTCTTCAAACTTTTGAACTTTTGTCAAGCTTTGTTTCAAACAAAACTTACAAGTCGGGGCACACTGATTCAATTTTTCAAACTTCCAAATCGGAGCGCACTTTTAGACACTTCAACATTTCAAATCGGCGCAAACTGTTTTCTACGTGTTGAAACTTTTTGCGATATTCCAAATATGGGCGCAGTTCTATCTAACTTGTTTGCAAACTTTTTTTCAATTTTTCAAACTTCCAAATCGGGGCCCGCTGTTTTCAAACGCTTTTCACATTTTTCATACTTTTGAAACTTCCAAATCGGGGCACAATGTTTCCACCTTTGTTTTCAAACTTTTGACAACTTTTCAAACTGTTCCAAACTTTGTCCAAACTGTTTTCAAACTTGTTCGAACTATTTTCAAACTTCTTCAACGTTGCTCAAACTTTCCCCATTGCCCCAAACTGTTTTCAAACTTTTTCAAACTTCCAAATCGGGGCAAACTTTTTCAAACTTTTCAAATTTCCTCATCGGGGCTCACATTTTATCCGAACTTGTTTCGAATTTCCACATCGGGGCAAACTTGTTCCAAACTTTTCAATTTGTTCCATTTTTCCAATTGTTTTTAAAGTTCCAAATCGGGGCCATGGGCGGGCGGGCGGGCGCGAATGGGCGGGGGGCGGCCCGGGGGGCTTGGCGGCGGGCTCCGTTGCTGCGGGCGTCTTCTTGGCCCGCGCCTCGGCGCCCGCTGTCCTCTGGGCGCCGGGGGGGGTGCGAGCCCGCGGGCGAGGCCGACGGTTGAGGCCCGACCAGCGGCGGGCGCGGTCGGGGGCGGCCGAGGCGCGCGCCGCCGAGATTGTAAGGCATCCTTTTTCCGCGCGCCGCAAGCGACTCAGCGCCCGCGTCGCCCGAATTCGCGTGGAAAAAACTTCGCTTCGCGCGAAACAGGGGCGCGCGGCCGCGCATTTCGCGGCGGAACATCGCCCTCCTCGAGATCGTGCCACGCGCCGGCGGATGCCGGCAGCGGTTCTACGCCGAGCGCGGGAATGTTTCGCGCTGCGCGCGATTTAACGTGCCAGCCGGCCCAACACCGACCACGCCGAGCCCCTCTTCCTCGCCGCCAGCTTCGTCACCAGCGCCGCTGGCGACCTCGACGAGGCCGAGCAGAGCGACGACCTCCAGCCAGAGGCCAGAGACACACGAGGATGGGCCCTAAACCCCGCCCCGCCGCCGCGGCCGCCCCCCCTCCAGCCGGAGGAGGAGGGGGGCCGGCAGCTGGCAGGAGCAACGCCTAGTTCTCCACTGTCTCCCAGGGGCCGCCCGCCACTTTGCCCCTTTGGGCGCCCCGCCCCCGAGCAGACCCGGGCAGCGGCCCCAAAGCAATCGACAAGATGGGTACCCCCCCTCGCTGACCCCCATCCTGCCCTTCGGGCTCTGTAACCGAGGACTCCCCCGGCGCCGCGGCAGGATTCACTTCGGCCTGATGGATCAAGGCCTCCAGCTGGCAGACGCGCTCGGGAACCCAAAGTTGATATCCACATCGCCG